GGTTCTTGGCTCAAATCGAAGAGCCCTAAAGCCCAAACCCGAAACCTCAAACACGGGCTGAGATGCCTATAGTGTACTAGTGCAGACTCAGAAAGGGCATTCAAAAAAAGCAAAAAAAAAACGAAACCTCAAACCCTTACACCCCAACCTCAAACCCCAAGACCCCCAAGCAGAGCCTGCCCTGCGCCAGCGCTGCCTCACCGCCGCCTCGGCTGCCGCCCTGGACCGGTGGCGCGAGGTGGGAAAAGGTTTCGGGTAAAGGGTTCAGGGTTCAAGGAGAGAGAGTTTAGGGTTTAGGGTTTGGGTTCAGGGTTCAAGAGAGAGGGTTGGGAGCACAAGTGAAAGTTGGTCGTTGAAGGCCGCATTCTTATGAGAAGGTGGTTTCCGTGTCGGGGTGGGGCACCGTGTTGCTACCACAACGTGATTCTCTGAGTAGAAGAAGGCTCGACTGTTTGCGGGGGAATTTCTGAACAGCTGGGGGATTCAACCCTCAACATGGTGAATGGTGATCACCGCTATGGTCTGCGTAATCATCGAAATCATCATCATTATCATCAGCATCATCAGCACTGTACAGTAAAGTCCATCAGCAGTATGAACCTCAAACCTTAAGGGTCCAAGTAGTCCTTACTCATGGTTTTGGATACCTAAAAGGGCCGTAAGGTCCTATAGTCAGGAGTACTTGGACCCTGTAAGAAACCATAAAATTCAGAGCTCTGCTGTACCTCCGATTAACCGGCAAGGCTCAGAAGGCTGAGGAAGAGCGAAGCGCCTTGGAAGCAGAGATGAGCACTGAAGAGCTTTAGGGTTTAGGGTGGAGCCTCCTTGCTGTAATTATGGTAAACTGGGGTTTAGGGGTTTGGGGGTTTAGGTTTTAGGGCAGTATACTATTCTAATCATTAAGGCCCCTTTGTCATGTGACTCCGGAGGACAGGGCTTGAGGTGTAGGCTTGGGGGGGGTGTAAGATCCGGGCTAAAGGTGCTTGTTTGCTGTCTCATGGGTTCCTTCAAAGATGAGAAGCAGGCCAACACCGAAGCTCCGTACATCCACTTCCGATGCAAGCCGGGCATACCCAAACCCTAGGCCTAGGCTCTCATTCCCACGCTCCGAAATCAAGCCGTGATCCTTCAAGGTAGTACAGTTCCAAACTTGCGCGACTTCCCAACCAACCTCTTGGTAGATGGTCATTGTAGAATTTGGTAATGTCGGATTTCTTAGTGGGCTACGGTTACAGAAGGTGGCAGGGGGTCGGGCCGTCGAGGGTGCAAGCTGGGATATGACGGTCCTGTCTCCGAATCGCAGCAACATTGCGTAGCTGAAGCTTGCAAACCTGCAGTATTGGGTCCTGATAAGAAGGATCCTACTATTTAGGGTACTATATTGGGGTCCCCTATTTTCGGAAACTCCTGGTTTCCAAACCTCTTCCAGGTTTTGGTAGGTGCCCTTTGGCCCTCTGAGTTTGCAGCAGCGAGACATCCTTCAGCTGAGCCCCGAAGAGGGTTTAGGGTTTAGGGTTTAGGGTTTGACACCTCCAAAGCCCAAAGCCTGAACACCGTAAGCCCAAACGCCAAACGCCGAACACTGTAAGCCGCAACCTAAAACCTCAACCTCAGCGCAAATCCCCATAGAGCCGTTGTACAACCCTGAGTTTTACGAATCGCAACTGAAGCCGTTGTAAACCCTTGCAAAACCACTATAAACCCGACGACGTAAATCCCTATGTGAACCCTGAATCCTCAAGACTCTTACCTTTGGTTAGTAGGGAATGGAGGAATGGGGTACAATTATAACTACTACTACTACTACTACTACTACTACTACTACTACTACTACTACTACTACTACTACTACTACTACTACTACTACTACTACTGATCCATTCCCTACTAACCAAAGGTGAGCACTAGCCCAAATCCCGACGAGGCCAACAAGCGCTTGCCGCCAAGTCACAGGTTGAACAGCAACTCCAGGACTCGTTGCGTTTTCTGGTTTGGGGGCTTCTGAGTTTAAGGTTTATGAGTTTGGGGTTCTCTGAGTTTAAGGTTTATGAGTTTGGGGTTGGTTTAGGGCTTGGGGTTCAGGGTTTCTGGGTTTACGGTTGAGGGACTCCTGTTGGAGGGTTTGGGGTTTCTAGGCTTTACAATGAGTTCTATAGGGGTTGTTTCGCAGGTTTTGGGAGTTTTTTTTTGAGGGGATTGGGTTTGGTGGGAGGGTTTCCAAAAATAGGGGCCCCTAATATAGTACCCTCAATAATAGGATCCTTATTATCAGGACCCCCAAAGAAGGTACCTACCCCCCCAGAGATTTCAGAAACTCCCAGGTTCCTGGTGGGAGGCTTCTTAGGGGTACTTAGAAATAATTTTTAATGTTTGGTTATTATAATCCCTAAGAAACAGCTAAAATTATATTTTTTGCTGGGGCTCTAAGTTCAGTATAGGCTTGGGGGGCGTTTTCGGGTCTCAAGTCGGGGGTTCCTTGTTCTTACGGGTGCTGTGTTTTATCCTATGGCCTACCCAGAGGCTCCATAGTAGTTCCTTTTGGGGATTACCTTATAGGATTCTATATATGAACCCAAAAAAGGAACTACTTTGGAGCCTTAGGGTATTGATATTCTATATAGCTATAGTTTAGAAGCTGCCCCCCACCCTGTAATAGTGACTATAAGGATTATATTAGGGCCCTATTATGTTCCTATTATAGCACTATTACAGCGTGGGGGCAGCTTCTAAACTATAGCTCCATATAGCTCCTAAGTTGGTTTAAACCAGGGAATCCGGCAAGGAGTAGCAACCCTATAAGCCCCAAACCCAGACACGTGAGTACTTATTATACCGGTTTAAGGGCGACAGACTCTCGGGTTTGGGTGATTCGAGAAGGGACCTGAGGTCTTGATGCTTTCCTGGAGAAGTTAGAGTTTTAGTAGAGCATACCTCTCCGATTCCGGCTACGTGGCTTGAAGATGTGGTGAGCGGTACGGTGTAACTGCAGAGAGTGGCCGGAACATTTGAGGCCTCGCGCAAAACTCAGAACAATGAACCCCCATCGTGCAATACTTGTCACTCTTCCGCAGATCCGCTTGGCGCGGCCTCAAGCTTTAGGTAGAGGCCCATGACAGAGCCACTGCTGTGAATTGCATTTTCTTTGTGTGCTGCTGGATTCCTTGATGCACTCATGGTGTAACATATCCCTTATACTTCGTAAGGCCCTCTATACTTCAAACTACCATGGCCCACATTATAGTAATCCTGACAGTAACCCTAATTTAAGTCTTGGGGCCCTCAAAACATACTGGCTTAAACCCTACACTACACCCCGACTGAAAACTGTGCCCCAAGCCCTGAACCTGCGATTGGAGGATGCTCTGTCACAGTGGCTCGGCTTCCGTAGTTCAGCACTTCAAGGATTTGTGGTGTAGCGTTTGAGGAATTAGGGTGCTGGATTTAGTGTTTAAGGATTTGGGGCATCGCCCTAAACTCTAGGGTCAAGGCGTTTATGAAGGGCTGATTGCTTTCTGTATTGTGCTGATGACACTTGCTGTCGTGAGAGGCGGTGAAGTCTCAATGTTGAGCAGTGCAGAGAACTGGCTGTTTGCGAAATTGCTAGTACATAGACACCGGCTGAATTCATAAACCCTAAATGAACCGTTCAAACTCAAAACCCTAAGGGATGGATGGGTGCATAGGATCCGTCCGTATCATGCACATTACACTCAGAACCTGGACCTGAACCCTAAACCCTAAACCCCTAAACCCTAAACCAACATCCCATTTGAGGCTCAAGAAGCTCCGCAAGGAGAACCAAGACATGGAGCAGAGGACAATGGGTTTGGGCCCGGGAGGAGTTAACATAGGGGCGAGAATAGCAGAAGCTACAAGGAAGACTAAGGGAAGCCAGAAAGGCCGGGGTTCAGGCCTGAGGGTTTTAAGGAATCATAGTAGGAAGTTTGTATTTACAGCTTGGATTTGTTGTCGCTTCTGGTGGCGGTAGTGGCAGTGGAACTAGCACTAGCTTTGCACTAGATTTTAGCACTGCCAGTAGGAGTAGTAGTACCAGCGGTCGTGGTGGTGGTGGTGGTGGCGGTGGTGGTCGTAGTGGTAGTGAGTAGTGGTCGTAGTGGTGCTGTGGTAGCAGTGTTCGTGATAGTAGTGGTAGCAGCAACAGCAGGAGTAGTCGTAGTCGTCGCCACAGAATGTGGGTAGTTCTCTAGATTAGCGTCCCTTTTTGGGTCCCCGAAATCGTACGGGACCCTTATCTGAAAGACCTTAATTTAGAAAACTACGTCAGTGCTGGTTCCCAGGATGTCAGAGTCCGAGCAGCGGCTCGTGGATTCCGAGGCGGAAAAGCTGCGGCTGCAGGCCAAGCCGGAATGAGATAAAGGTTTAGGTTTGAGGGGTTTAGGATTTAGGGTCTATAGGGTTTAGGGTTTACAGGTTTAGTTTAGGATTTAGAGGTGTACAGCTTCTAAGAGGGCCTACAGCTGCCACTGGTAGCTAAGGACCCTTCTAAAACCCTAAGAAAGCAAAGGCGCACAGGCCTTTTCGCAGGGCTCGATCACATGTGCCTTCGGCGAACTCGTCTGAAACACTCCAGCGACCTGTGCGAGCGACTTCAGGCTTACACTGGTTAAAATCTCTCTGTTCTTCCCAAGAAAAGTCCTCTTTTAAGAGGTAGCGTGATGCCCTCCTTGAGGGTTTTCCACCACACATCTGTACGCATGGGCTTTGTCAGGGGATCGGCTAGCTGGACCGCTGTAGGGATCCATTGGAGCGGCAAACGGTCAGTCCACTGTTCAGCCCGCAACTCTTGACGTAGAGCCGCTAAGTCCGTTGCGAGACGACGGTCTGCTGGGAGCCTTGGTGTTCCAGCCTTGTGAAGGTGGTCGTGAAGAGACTTGCAGTCGGACAGGCAGAGGATTGGCCACCGCTTACGGATCTCATGGTGCTTGACGATCCGTCCATGAAGGAGTGAGGCCAGAAGGGCCCTCATGTATTGTCCTCCTTCAAGTCCCTCCACCGCGGCCATTGTCTCCGCACCAAAGGTGGAACGGCACACTCGCTTGCATGACTGGCTCCTCCACTCGAGCAAACTCGTTCGGCAACAAGACCCGTCGAGGATAGCCCGGTCGGCCAGTAAGATCAAGTGGCCCAACTGTGAAGCGACCGATCTCCTCGGCCGTGAGCTTGAACCCGTCCTCGGCCTCCTCGAGCTCGGCGTTGGCCCAGGCCGCGTCGTGGTACACGAGGAACACCGCGTCCTCGAGTTTGGTAGGCCGCAGGTAGATCCCGTTCTCGCGGAACTCCTTGGCCCGGGCCGAGAGCTGATTCACGAATCGAACATCCTCGGTAAGAGGGGCCCGTTGGAGCTGCGTCAGGTCTGGGCGACTCTGGCTACTCAGCCAGCTCAAGGCACCGATCAATGATCGGTTGTCGATGGCCTGCTCTTCAGTAGCTGGTTCTGTCCCCTTCTGCGAACTGGGTGATACTCACGCCATCGTCGTTCACCGATCCTCCCTTGGAGCATGCGGTTGACCTCGGTAGGGGCGACCACCAAAATGTCGTCCACGTGGAGGGCGAGGTATCCTGCTGGCTCAGAAGCTTCGCCATCCTTGATGAGCATCATCACGCAAGGGTCCAAAGGGCTCGGCACGAGGCGGTGTCGCACTCCTCCGATGTCGAAGACCTCGCCAAGTAGAACGCTAGAAAGCCTATCGTACCACATCCTCGGGCTCTCAGATAGGCCGAAGACTCCTTTCCTGATCCGAGCGATCTGTCTTGGATCCAGTCCAGAAATCCCGGACTTTGGCTGTGCCATCCACAACTGACGCCCGAGCTCAACGCCTTGTAAGAAAGCAGCTTGAACATCTCCTGCAGCAGCCTTCCAACGCTTGGAAGCACATATTTGAAGCAAAGATATCAAGGATGCCCTCGACACCGTGGGAGAGTCGACCTCGATGTTGGCGACGCCCACGTCTGGATCGAGGTGTCCAGCCACGACCAGCCTTGATTTAGGCTTCCACTCCACAGTAGGGTCGGCGCGCCGGCGCCCAAGGTGCTTGTCCCTGTAGGCGAAACGGGAGCTTCCAAGGCCCCAGTGTCCACATGTTCTCGCCACTGGACCATCTCCTTCTCCCGGAACTTCGGCCTCATGAACTCCGGGATGAGGGACCAAGGGATCTCCTTCTCTAGCTGCTTTTCGCGGGACCGCTGGGTGCGGGCTCGCTTGATCATGTTCACATCACTGGGCTCTTCGCGGGGCCCACCGTCAACAGCCACCTCTTCACCGCGCCCCTTGCGTCGCTGTCGCTTCAGAACACGAGGAGGTACACGAACAAGGTCACGTCGTAGCCCACGTCGTTCTTCTTCTCCGTCCAGCTCCATGTCATACGCAATTTCGCCAACACCAGCAGCCCCGGCGTTGAGCATCTCTTCGTCCCCTTGGTCCTCGTGATCCTCATCGTAGGCGCCCGGCTCATCTGAGTCGGCATTCAACAACTTGTCCAAGTCTTCTTGCGCGACCTTCATGCTGAAGGCCTGACCAAGTTCCTCGCCGGTTGCAAGCCGAACATGCTCTGGAGCACATAGAACACATCTCCCGGCTCGGGTGATCCATAGGTTCGCGCCTTCTCGCCCGATGACGGTTCCGGGTCCGACCCAGTAGCCCTTCTTGTTGTTCTTCGTCTTGCGAAAGTAGAAGACCCTTTCCCCGGTTTCTGGGGTTCGGCTTTCAACACGGGCACGCCCTGCAAGGGCGCGGCGAACTCTCTCATCGGTCTGGACATGGAAGTAGGCGGCCCGAGCGGCCGTTCGAAGTGCGACCTCACGGGCGTGCTTGTCGTCGATGATCGCCTCCTGCTCCGGGTGGTCAGCGTGAGGACCCTCAAGAAGATCTTCTGGGAGCCCCGGCATCGATCCAAACACATGCTGGCAAGGACTGAAACCGCTCGTCCGTGTCAGCTGGTTCTTTGCAGAAGAGACTGCGCTCACAGCGAGGTGGAAATCACTTTGGCATACAGAGTGTTCCTCGCAGATCCGGCCGAAAAGGGACTTCCAGATAGCTCCTTGGCGCTCTGTGTAGCCTGCCTGGTGGTGGGCCTGTCCGGCCGCACTGCGAATGCGGGTCCCCGTCCAATCGCCAATACGGGCTAGAGACTTCTCCAACCCGTTCTCCAAATCGACCGCAACCGTGGTCGGAGCCCCAAAAATCTGAACCCAACTCTCACAGAACGCCTTCTCGAGTGTAACGGTGTCTTTCTTCTGCACTGGCACAACGATGTGGTAGGCAGACGAGAAATCGACGATGGAGAGGAGCTGGTGTCGCCGGCCTTCGCTGTCGTGGACATAGAACAAGTCCGTGCCAACCATCTCGTTGAATCGGTAGCAGGGGGCAATCTTAGCCGGTTTGGGAATAGCCGGCTGCTCGCTCCTTTGACAAACTTGGCACTCTAGGCCCTTGGCCCCTTTCAGAACTTCGCGGGATGCCCCAGCCAGGCGTAGATGACGAACAAAATCGGCAGTGCTAGGGTGTCCAAGGTTCTGGTGTAGACGCCGCAGACTGGTCGCTATCGCCTCGGAGACGGTGGGCGGAAAACTGATTGCCCGGGCACCTCGTGGTAGGGGGCCCTCATCTTCAGCTCCACGTTCTTCGCTTTGTGCTGGGAGCAACTCTTCCTCGCTTTCGTTGTCGCCGACGTACACAGAGTGGATCTCCCCCTCTGACTGGGCCTGGACGACCGGATGTACTGATGGCCGTCCTCGGTGAAATCGTAGGTCACGTCGTAGCCCGCATCCTCCCAACCATTGGCCAAGCTCTCTTAAAGGAGAGGTTCTTGGACCTCCCTCTCGAGCACCACTGCTTGTCCCCTCCCGAGTTGGTAGCTGACCGCCTCGACCAAGTCACGGAACACCGCGTCGCAGCCCCATTCGGGTAGCATGTGAATCCAGAGCTGCCCGGGTCGGTGACGGATGACCGCCGCCTCGATGTAGCCAATGCCCAGGTCCTCCGGGTGGTCGTTGGAAAGCACGTCCTCAGGGAGCAGGGGTTCCACGAGGTGGTCGCCGCAGATGTCGTACTCGGCAAGCCGGCAGGTAGCAGAGAGTCCACCAACTTCAAGAATGGCGGTCTCAGGGCTGACATGAGCAGGTAGTGCATCACGTACAACACCGCACATGGTCGAAATGGCCGTGGTGAACAAGACAGACAGCATCATGGCCGTTTGGCGGATGCCCTTCCGAACGCTCCGTTTTGGTCGCGAACTTGAACCTCCTTTGTGGGCAACCTCCTTCTCCGGGGTGTCGATCGCGTAGTCGTCGCGCTTCTTGATCTCCCGGATCTCGGCCTTGGTGGGCACCGGGAACTTGAGGTCGTTCAGGATTTTCCTTTCACTCTTGGAGGCTTCCGGAAAAGAACGCGGGGTGTATCCCGCAAGAAACCAACGCTCGCCGTCGAAGGGCTCGGTGGCATGGGCAAGCCGTGGATCGAACTCCCATCCTTGCTCGTGGGCGTCAACAATGCGCCCCTCGATCTCTTGGCCATTTCCACTGCGGCGCCAAGTTCCGCCGCCCTTTTCCTGGATCCAGACCCCTCCTCCATTGCCGCTGCCAAAACTGACCAGGTAGTTGAAGCTGCCCTTGAGGTTGTTCCGGTCCGTGTGGATCCCAGTAGGTATGTCGCCCAGTAGTGCAAGGGCCGCCCACGTGGCCCGGCCTTGCCCATGACCGCTTTCCCCAACGCAGTCAGCGAGGAACTCGTTCAAGTAGGTGGTCAACTTGGGCCATTCGGTCGTGCGACGGCCGACTCCCTTGAAAGTGCCGTAGGCGTAGTACCCAAGATTGCACCGCTTCCCTTCCTCACTTTCGCCATGCAATCCAGCACGACGATGGTTTGTGGGCTTGAGATCGTAGTTCGCAAGGACCTTGGAGACGGTACCGAAAGTAAAATCCCGTTCATGAAGTGCAGCTCCGGCAGCGTCTTCTCCAGGATGGGCCTTAGGACCTCGAGAACCTCCGTGGCGCGTAGCAAGGATCCCATGGTTCGAGTCTTCCGAACCAGAAGAACACGATCTGAAATCCTCGCCGGGCTCGTAGTGCATGTCGTGTGCCCCAGGTGGGGCGCCTTGGTCCTCATAGCCATCGCCAGGGTTCAGCCCTGGCGCGGTGCCAAACCGCACCTGTCGCGTAGGGTGGCCAGGCGCGCTTCGAGTGCCTGGATCTCGTCCATCGTGGCCGGGTCGATCTCCTGCTCCATGCGCTCGGGGCCCTCCGAGTCCTTGGTCTTCGTCTTGGCTGATTGGCAGCTGGCACCGGTGTCTGGGCTTCCCTCCACAAGGCCGGACGGCCTCTCGCATGCGGGTTGTACCCCTCGGAGAACGCACTCTCGTAGTCCGCCACCATCGCCCAGGACGACGAAGCCGTCTCGCTGATCGGCGGCGGGGGCACTGTCGCGTAGGTCTCCGCGTCGAGGTAGGTCGGCTCCATGGTGCTCGCCGCCGCAGCCGGAGTGTTCTGTCCCTTGGACCTGCGATGTCGCCGCCACACCACAAACCGCTTCAGGTCGTTGTGCATGTTGGTTCCATTCTGGCGTTCTTCCTCCGACGCCCAGTCCCCGTAGTTGTCTGGGATCTGGGCGAACGTTGTCCCTCGGAACCGACCAATGGTCATGACGGTATCCGCCGGGGCCGCTTCGTCTCTGCGTAGCATGAGACTCCCCTTTGTGTCCCCGGACTTCACGGTCAGCTCCATCTTGTGCGCTTCGGCCTTCAGCTCGTCCAGGTTCATGGACGACAAGCCCTTCGGCACCGCAACTCCCTTCCTCTTGGTCTCGTACTCCCGGTCCGAGATGAGGATCGTCCGGAGTTCTGGACACGTCCAAGCCTCGTTGAACGCCAGCTGCCGGCGCTTGCACTCGTCGATCAACTGGGCCTTTGTCATCTTCCATACTGGGAGCTGGGAGCATGATCGACGGGACGCGAAGGGGCAACAGATTGAGCTCGATTGAACACACTGCGGCCGACCCACAATGTTGGATACTCTCCAAGATCTTTGACAGCCCACTGCTCAGTCACTGTAGACAACATGCGTCGTGACATGCAACCGATGCCCCATGATTCCCTGACACTCCCAAGCTGACGCAGCAAAAGATCACGTAGGTGAGTTTGGCTTGTCTCCCATCTTCGAGGATCAAAGAACTTTCTTCGAGGAGTGATGTGGACACGAACTAGCTTGTTGGGTAGCTCAATCCAAAAATCGTTTACGAGTTCTGTGTTGGCCCACCATGTCACAAAGAGGTCCTCGTTAAGAACGTCACCCGTCAGCATGTCCCTAACAGCACCATCTATCTTCTTGTCGTAAAAGATCTTCGTCACCGCATCGACTTCACCAGGATCCCCTTGATCATCGCCCGAAACACCCCCGCTGCAAGCAACCATGTACACCTCGCGAGGGCCAAGGATCGCGATTCCATGTGGCTCCCAGCTGTCAGGGAGCCTTGAAGTGTCCGGCTTAGCCAGCTTGGAGTGATCAACTACAACAGCAGGGTGCCCACTCGTAGTTTCCTCCAGTTCGACCTCGCCACCGTCGAGTGCGCGGAAGGTAGCAACGTTGCTTCCGAGGTCCAAGACGAGGCCGAGTCGTGCCAAAGCCGGTCTCGAAAGAAGAAGTGGGATGTCCCCGTGGATCACCGAAGCTTTGATCGCGATGAGGTGGTCAAGAAGAGGTACGAGGATCACCGCGGCATAGGTAGACTCGTAGATCCGGCTGGCGGCCCCGAACTTGAAGCTCTCCTTCTCGTAAACAAAGACCACATCGTAGCCGCTTCCCTTGACATAGTCCAGGTACTTCTGAAGCCACCCAGTCCCAACCACAGTCTTAGAGCAAGCGGAGTCCAGGATCGCCTTGAGGCCGTCGCGCGTGCCCGTGGTGAGCTCAAACACCTCGTTGGTGACGTGGATCGTCTGTGCCTTGGCGCCGGAACCTTGGTTGCCATTGCCAGGGAACTTGGGGCAAATAGCATCTCTGTGCCAGTGGCCCCTCTGCCCACAAGCAGAGCAGTGGGACTTCGCTTTGGCCAACTGGATTTTGGCCTCGGCAGCCTTCCGGATGCCACCCGAGTCGGACTCAGTGGTTCTGTAGTCAGTTCCCCGTGCCTTGGCAGACTCTTTGTAGCGGGCCTTTGCTGTCATGTAAGTGAGGTAGAGTTCTTCGGAGTTGCATTCGGGGTCATCGTGAAGAGGGGGCTCAACATCCGAAGCCTCGCCGCCATCCAGGTCGTCCGTCTGGTTGACACTCTGGGGCTTCCCACGGAAGCCTGCCTTCTCCCAGGGTTTTCGCATTGACCTGTCCAAGACGATAGCCGCAGACTGCAAGGCCTTGAGGGCGTACTTGTTACCTACGCTCGCAAGCAAACTGACCTCCGTGGCCTCGTCGAGGTTGGCCCTGTCCACGAAGAGCCAAGCATTGGCCACGTCTGGCAAAGCGCAACCGCACTCTATGACTCTCGCCAACAAGCGGTTGAACTCCGCGGCATAGTCCCGGAAGCTCTGTTGAGGACGCCTGCGGAGCTTCCTGAACAAGTCACTCAAAGAGCGTCCCACCTGAGTGACCTCCACGTCCAAGTAGTGCTGACGAATCCATTCTCGTAGACGGCTCACGCCTTCAGGATGGGCGAGATCCTCAACATTCAAAGACTCAGAGTTCACCCAAGCAGAACCAGATAAGTGCTGATATAGCACCAGCGCACGCTGGTCTGGGGCCAACTTGGTCATTTTCTCCCAAGCATTCACCTGTCTCAGGTAGCTCCGCGCCGATGTTCCAAGGTCGCCGCCATTCTCGGTGTCCCCGGTGAAGGTAGGGACGATGAGCCGTTCCGTAGGCCCCTTTGTCCCTCCAAAAGACTGGTGCACAGTCCCTGTAGACGCATCCCATGTCGCCGCAGGCCCTCCATTCCACGAACTTGCCGTAGTAGCTGCCGCGGTCCACGTAGTCGGCGGAGTCCCGGGGGTACTTGTAGAACCCGCTGTAGGCCCCACATCTCCGTCCCACCACGTCCATGAAGAACTGTTCCATGTAATCGGCGCCGTCCCGCTGGTACTCGCAGAGGTCGAAGTAGAGACGTTGTCGGCTGGCATCCACTGCCAGCGGCCCCAGTCGCCTTGGGATCGCCACGTCCGGTTCCAGCGGCCCCAGCTGCCAGAATTTTGAGTGGCCCAAGACCAGTT